CCACCCCCCGCCCTCCCCATCGCCACGGACCACATCAGCCTCACCCTCAAGGAGGACATCCACGACCCCGAGCCGCCCATCCCGCCCCCCGGCTCCCTCCGCGAGTACCTCGAGCCCCTCCCGGAGGATGAGTCAGACGGCTGAAAAATCCTCACCAGAGGGATGGTGCATTTTCGTGGGGAAGCCGAAAGGATTCAGTAATCGACAGCAAAAATCGATTTCTCAAAAGATAAGCTCCTTTGATTGTGCGTCTGACGATTGAGCTGGGTCCATGAACTTAAACCATGCTCGATGCGAGATGGTGCATTTTCGAGGAGGAATCGAAACGATTCAATAATCGATAGAAAAAATCGATTTCTCCCGGAGGATGAGTCCGACGGCTGAAAAATCGTGACCAGAGGGATGGTGCACTTTCGAGAGGAAGCCAAAACGATTCAATAATCGACAGCAAAAATCGATTTCTTGAAAGACAAGTTCCTTTGACTATACGTCTGTCGATAGAGCTGGGTCCATGAACTTCAAGCCATGCTCAATGGGATGGTGCATTTTCGGGGAGGAATCGAAACGATGGAAAAATCGATTTCTCGAAAGATAAGCTCCTTTGATTATGCGTCTGACGACTGAAGTGGGTCCATTGACTTAAAACCATTCCTATTGGGATGGTGCATTTTCGAGGAGGAATCGAAACAATTCAATAAACGTCAGCAAAAATCGATTTCTCGAAAGATAAGTTCCTTTGATTATGCGCCTGACGACTGAGCTTGGTCCATGAACTTTAAGTCATGCTCAACGGGGTGATGCATTTTTAAGGAGGAATCGAAACAAATCAATAATCGACGGTAAAAATCGATTTCTCGAAAGACAAGTTCCTTTGATTATGCGTCTGATGACTGAGCTAGGTTCATGAACTTCAAACCATGCTCAATGGAATGGTGCATTTTCGGGGGAGAATCGAAACGATTCAATAATCGACAGCAAAAATCGATTTCTCGAAAGATAAGTTCCTTTGATTATGCGTCTGACGACTGAACTGGGCCCTCAGGCACAGGGTCAGTAAAATTACAACCATGATCAAACGGATGATGGAATTTTGAGAGGGAATCGACACAGCTCAATAATCGAAGGAGAAATCGATTCCTCGAAGTTTATCGAGAGATAAGTTCCTTCGATTGTGCATCTGACGACTGAGCTAGGCCCCAAAGGTCAATAGGACCATTACAACCATGACCTAAGGGATGGTTCGTTTTCGAGGAAAAATCGAGACGATTCAATAATCGGTAGCAAAGTCGATTCCTCGTAAGATCGATTCCTTTGATTTTTAAGACTGAACTGATGGCGAATCTTTGAGATTATGTAATTGCCATTGTTGATGTTTCAAAATTTGATCCGCAAACTGACAAAAATAACATTTTCTCTGCTTTATTCTTATTTCCTTCCTTCTCTTTGTTTCCTTTTTTCTCGTTCTCCTTTCCGTATTTTTTTCTTAATTTCTAATTTTCTCCTCTTTTTTTCTTTTTTCTTCCTCTCTCTCCTGATCCCTTTTCCTCCGATTCCTCATTTTCTTGTTTTTATCTTGACTTCCTTCTCAATCCTCTTCTATGTTATCACTCTGTCCCATATTATCCTACCTTTTTTTTGCTTTTCTCCGTATTTTATCCTTATTTCTTCGTTTCTAATACAATTTTCTTCTTTTTTCTTTTGTTAGATTTTCCATTTCTCTTCTTTATCCATCTCTTTCCTATTTCCTCTCTTTATCCCTGTAGTATCATTATTTCTCCTTACCCTTCTTCCCCTCTTTTTTGTCTCCATTACTCTCCATTTTTTCTTTTTCTCCTCATTCGTCTCTTTTTTCTTATCTCCTCTTTTTCTCCATTTTCTCTCATTCCTCTTCCCTAACCTCTCTATCTCTGCCCTCTCCTTCTTTCTCCGCAGCAGACATACTTCACCACTTTGGAAGCCCTGTCAATTCCCACCTCAAAACATTCGTTTGTAGAAATAAACTACAATTGAATACGCAAAACAATGAGACAATTGTATCCACCTCACATTTCTCTGCGTGTGAAGTAGGTCAGTGGGGCATGAGTGGAACACACTGTTGGTTGTCGTGTCGACCCAATTTTTAAGGGGCCAAACGTCACGAACGTCCTTCAAATGAAAGGAAACTATATCCGTTATGACATGAGCCCTGGGATTCATAATAATTCATGCTAAGCAGGGCTCATGTAACGATCGATAGAGTTGCTTTTGGTGTAGGAGTGCTTAGGTGCTGTCTAATGCTGCCGTGCTAAGGAAAAACGTCGCATGAACATTCGGAGGTTGCCAAATTTCCTTCGATAAAACATGTATTTTCGACGACATTCATGCAAATTTTTCTTCGAAATTTTCAAATATTTTAGATTAAATTGCGTAAAAAATTGTCTGGAAATTTTTGAAAAAAAATTCACAATTTTCCCAGTAAATTCAGTTTTTATCGAAAGAAACTTGGCAACGCCTGAAGGCTCATACGGCGTTTTTCCTTAGCACGGCAGTACGGGTGCCTCGCATGTGGAAGGGGGGGGGGAAGACGGGTCAAAAAGTCGGCCAAAATGCCTTACGTAATACTTGATCAACCCCTTATATAAATATATGGGCTTTCTAGATCATTGATGTTATATTTTAGAAGTCAACCCGGAACCACTGAACATTTTTAGACGGCGCACAGTGGATCGAGCCAATCAGAGAGGTCGGACATGAAATAGTTTACTAAAACTGCAAATTTTGATGTTTATCTGTCACATTTTAAATTTTAAGGTGTGCTTTTACTGGAAAATATCACGAGGAAATCAATGAAACCACTTTTAGAACCTCAAAATTTTGAATAAACGGAGTCCTAAGCTTTTAAAGTTTTCAAATTTTGTCCGACTTCTCCTATCGACTCGGTCCAGTGTGCGGCGGCTCTATACAACCCTCGGGAAATAAGTAATTTTAATTTTTAACATGGCCGGGTGAGTATGGAAATTTTATTTCGTTGAGGCCTCAGGGCCCAAAAGGGCTGCTAATTTTCGCCAAATTACTTTATCAAAAATTGGGAAAGTGATACAAATAATTCAGTCAACTCGTTTTTTTAGATAATTCCTCTTGGCCACCACGATTGAATCTTGATTCTGTGTATAGTGAATTGTAAATAACTGGTGACAAGATTAGATCATTTGAAATCACATGTTGGCTGCCGCACAGTGGATTGAGTCAATCAAGGAGGTTGGACATGAAATTTTCGACTAAAACTGCAAATTTTGATGCTTATTTCGTCACATTCTAAATTTTATCGGGTGCTTAAATAAGACAATTTTACGAAAAAACCTATGGAGCCACTTTTAGAACTTCAAAGTTGTGTAGAATCGAACTTATATGCTTTGAAAGTTTCCAAATTTTGTCCAAACTCCCTTGTTGACTCCATCCACTGTGTGCCGTCTTGGGTCCTGAGTATTGTTTAGAGCCCGTTGGATTTTGGGACTTTCACACAGGCATGTCCACTTTTGTCCAGAAAAAATTATCTGAGCCGGGCAGGAAACAGGGAAGAAATAAGAACTCATATTTACCAGTCAACGTAGCTTCTTGTTATTGTACATAAGTTCAGCCGCGAGTTAACGCGTAGGATTTTCAAATAACCTGTAAAATAAAATCCGCTCAATAACTCTCCTGTAATTATAATTTTATCAAAGACTCATTTTTTGTACATTTGTATTAAATAGTATATTTATAATAATTTTGTATATCAATCAGTTGACGATCGAATATTTTAAATTGAGTGTATATTTTTAATTAAGGAAACATTTATTATTAATGACTGAGTACATGAGTAAGAGTAAATGTAAGAGCAAAAAAAAAGTACAACGAGGCTAGGTTAGTAGGTACGTAGACTTATACGGACTTGAAAAAAAAATAAACTTGAATGTAACAATTTTTATCGAAAACTTTCGAATCTCAGGAGGATTAGGTACGTAGAACTGTTTATTGTAAATACTACTTTAATTCTGGTGTATGTAAAAATGATATGCATTAAGTATATGATTGTAATGTAAGTCTACAATCCTCTTTTTATTCATCTTTCCTTCATGATAGAAGCTTCCGGTTTGGCTTTTGGGTTATAGGATATTTCGTCAACGATTTTTTGTCCGCGCACCTGTTTTTTCCAGTAATTTACGTCAACGCGTTTTTTCGGCAGGGGAGTTTTGGTCCACGTGCCAGTTGAGACCCAAAGTTAATTGGCCGACATGTAAATACAAACGACAGTAATTGCTCTCGACGTTTTTGTGTGAACATATTTAATGTCTTGGAAGAATGGGGGTTTGCTTGTTTTTTTGTTTTGTTTGTTTGGTCCAACGGAGAATAATATACAGTTGAGATTTTTGCTAAAAATGGGGGAGCGTCAATTCCATGAGACAAAATTCACTAAAACTCTCTACACCTCTTTGGTACAACAGGACTTAATTATCTTTCAAGAAATTCCCATATTGTCATCTAAAGGCTCCTAGAGTTTTCCTGTGTACGATAAGTATCTTGATTTATATTGCGAGGAAAGATCTGTACTTTTAAAGGATGCCTGTCATTCTTAATACGTTCAATTTCGTATAATACTGTGCAGCACCTCTGTTGTTAGCTAGTTGCTTCAGGCGCCGCGCCGCCGCACGGCGGGCGGGCGGCCAGCGCTGAACGCGCATTGGCGCCTACAAACCTAACTGGATACTTCAAGCATTGTGCAATGTGAGAAGTATCCACTTAGGTATGTAGGCGCCTCTCGCGCTGGCAGCACGCCGCGCCGCTCCGCTCTGTTAAGCTCTAATATTTATACTCTCGTGGTCAGCGTTTGTTTAACTCATGATTTTGAAATATTTGCACACTCTGCAGTGATTATTCTCATTTAAATTGATGAAAAAAAAATATGTATCAATTTATCAAAGAATAATAATATAATGTGTGTTTTTTTAAATATTGGTGGTTACGTGTCAAATTTAATGATTTCCAAAGCACTTTGATTTTTTCTTTTATATTTTGTGCTTTTACTGTGCTATAGCGAGGTGTACGCGCAACCAAACGCTCAAAATTTGACATTTGACTCTAAAAGATCGATGTACAAATGGGTTAAAACTAAAGATTGCGCGCTTCTTGGTTTTTTATTCCTCTTTTGTTCATTTTTGCAGTTTCATTCCGGCACAACTGCGGTTCATTGAGATTAATATCGATGCCATCGCTTCGAAAAGGTTTCACCAATATTTGTCACGTTTTAAAAATATAAATGTTTTCAAAATGAAGTAATAATTTCGTAAAAAAAACTAAAAAATAAAAAAAATATCTCATATATCAGGTATATTGTACCTACATCGAAAATTTTAAGGATAGGACTAAAACCAAATATTCACCAATGACAATTTAAAAAGATTAATCAAAAGAAGAAAGGAACATTTCATTTAGAAAATGAGCAACCATAACAACACCTCCTTTTCTCTCAATATCTCATTTCCGTATTGTCAATATAATTTTACATACCAACTAAAATATAACGCTCGGACCAAGTCATTGTTGCTTATTTTACGCGTGGACGTAAACTACTGGACAAAAAAGGTGCGTGGACAAAAAATCTTTGACAAAATGTTCTGAAACCGGCTTTTGGCTTTTGTTTTGACTTTTTGTCTTGAACTTTTCGACTCTCAAGTCTAAAATATTTTAAAGTCTCTAATTAAATGGCAACTCCGCTATCTCGCATTTGCAAGAAGGCACTTGCACAGGTAATTTTAGCGATAGCAACACGCTAAAAGCAGTTAAAAATTAATCATACTTGAGGCTCAATGTAAAAAAAAAAAAAAAAAAAAAAATCAAAGTCAAATGTTCACTTACTAAATATTTAATGCCGACTTAACATTTTTGGCAGGATCAATTTAATCGTTTTCTGCTAGAGGGGAGTAAATCGAAAATTCTCTGATCCGTCTTGCATTTACAGCTTTCTGAAGGATGCCTACATATTTTTTGAGAATTTTTTTATTTTATACTTTTACTTGTTTTGAAGAAAGAAAAGCATTGCCTCTAGGTTTTGGTCTTTACCTGCTCAAATGTTATACCTTCATGTTCTATTTTAGTAACGAAAATTAGTTATAATTTTTTTTAAACTCGCCTTGAACCTACTTTTTTTACTGAATAAAAGCCTCAGTTTTCTATTACTTTCTTGAAAAAACCGTGAGTTCAAAATTTCAAAATAGCTTAATAGACTACTACAAATTTTCCCACCAACAAAGTATGATTTAAGTACTTCTAAAATGATGCTAGTACATCCTTTGGACACTCCAGAATTTCTTTAATCATCCTGCTTGGCAATAAAATCAGTTTAGTACCTCTCCAGCAAAATTTGCTTTTGTGCATTTTACGCTCTTCTACCAGGAAAGAGGTCATATATCGATGGCCAAAGTGCAAAACCACCGATCTCCGTTTGTGACGCTGCAGACTTCCTGTCATGCCTTTATCATTGAAAAACTGGTCAACATTATTTCTTGAAAAATTCCTTGATTTGTCCTCTGTTACCATTGCCTGTAACCACTCCAAACCGATCCGTGACCAAATCTCCTAGTTATTGAGCTCGTTGAGACTGCAGTGCTTGGCAGCTGCAAAAGCCCTTTCTCCACAGCGAGAAGAAGAAGTGAGCACATCATGCCGGCGATGAGAAGCACAAAAGCGAAAAGCACCTCTTCCAATTTGACCGGTAAGAAGATTTGTCGATCGCAGCGTGGTTGGGCGATATCCCACAGCTTATCCGTGCGTGTAAGGATTCCTCGCTCTACGAGCAGTGAACTCCTGTAATAGGAAAAATACCCGGAATAAAAACGGTTTTGGATTCGATTCAGAGATGACTGCAGAATGAACTCGAACAATCCAATTTTTTGCGAAAATGTACCTGCAATCATGGACCAAAATTTGTCTGATTTTTGCTTGAGCTCAGAGGAAAAATCAAAAACATTCTTAGTTAAAAATGCTCAAGATTTCTCGTAAAAATGCAATTTTCGATGGGAAAGGCAACAGTGACATACAGTCACGCTCTATCATGGGGAGAGGGTGAGGTGACGACGAATTTTCCTAAAATCACAAAAAATCCGGTTTTTATGGAGGAGGGGGGAGATTTCCCGGTCGGCCACCCTAAAAATCCGCATTTTTCGCGATTTTAGAAAAATTCGTCCCCCCCCCACACACGAAAGAACGTACCTACATTTCACTGTTATCCTTTTCCCTCGCAAATGGCGAATTTGCACGCAAATTTTTATTGCCTCATCTGAAAGTGCTTATAGAGCTGATTTTTCAGTAATTGTTATAATTTTTTTCCTGATATGGGAAATAGTACAAAAATATATTTAAAAGTGAGAAAATGTACCGCCTTGTGTCTGGCCACATTTCCCATTAAACACGCGTATTTTAGCAGATTAGATCATTTTGTCATATCTTCTCCAATAATTTTTCAATTCATGAACCAAGGGTATCCTCATGTTCAGTTCACTCAGCAGTTTCCATACAAAATTATCATATTTCAATGTTTACCGGGATGGAATACGAATGGAGGGTCTCTTCGTCTCTGTTTGAGTCACTTACATTTTTTTTTTATCGTTGACATTCGTCCAAAATTTACTCTTTGCCCCAGAAGAGCAAAGTGACAGTTTTCTCTAATTGAACGGTAAAGTAAAAATACTTCACGGTATATTACCCAAAAGAGAAGAATTCCTCATAAGGAGAGTCCATCTGCACACCGATTGATCTTGGCGTCGAGGCTGGGGGAAAAAGTTCCACGGCGACCAAGCTGTATAACTCGTAATCTGAGAAAGTGTCGGCGGCTGCACCAAACAATTTCCGCAAATCAGTGACGTAAGCGTAATTTGCCTCGCGAACTCGCTTCAAACCTTCCGTGATCGGTACAAAAGTCTCTGTAGAATTCATTTTCACTTCCTGCAGCTTTTGAATGTGCGGGTCTACTGATGAGTTCTGCAACAGTTTACTCATTTTTATTTTATTTATTTATTTATTTATTTATTTTTTTTTTTAAAAAAAAGCACATTCCATCATATTCATTAATAAAGGTACTTGTCACGCTAAGGGTGTCTTTTTCTGATTAAGTTTGTGTTACCTCTTAAATGGACGTATTTATGCAAAAATGAACGAGAGACTTGTGGGAAAGATGGGATGAGCACTGGATAAGAAACAGTGTAAAAGTGATCGCGATTCCTTTTGGCAAAATGCAAAAACGGAATTTGATATTAAATCAAAAGGACCTACGCGCCAAAATCGGCTACCTCATGAGCCGTGAGCATGGCAAAATAGAATTGTGGACAGGGCTCATGAGTTGAAAAACGTTCACAACCAACACCCCCGAAAAATTGAGTCTCGGATTGGATGTAAAGATTTGTATTCTTTGTGAAGTATTAAAGTTTCTTAAAATTCCATATCGGGAGAAATTTGGCAACGTCCAAAAGTTCATGCAATGGTCATCAGCACGGTGGAATGGTCCACGAACGCGAAATTCCGAAGTTGTTTAGTTGAAACGCTTGAATACAACTATTCGTACTCTTAGGATGTCCGTATTGCATATACACTCATTTGAAGGCGCCTTGGCGGTCATGACTCTGCTCAGCAGCGTCGCAGCTACAACAAGCGGGTGATTGTTTTATTCTGAAGAGATTTTTGTTAAGTCTTGAAGAACATTCACCAAAGTGTTTAAACATATTTTGTAGCTTCTCTAACGTAAAGCAACTTTCTTCGGTCAAGCACTTACTGCTCTTCGTGATGATACTCAATAGCTTGCAACATTTGGTTTCGTCCAAATAAACGCATATCGGTAGCCAAAGTGAAAAACCATGTATCTCCATTACGGTGTTTCAAGATCTCCGCTCAAATGTTGTTTTTTCGAAGAAAGACAAGCCGACTTTATACCTTGAATTTTGAAATTTTTTTAAATAGTTTTCCAGAGAAAAAGGAAAGTATGACATCAGGAAGTCTGCAACGTCGATCGCAAACGGAGGTACGAGGTTTTCCACTTTGGCAGTCGATATCTGTCAAAGCAGCTAGACCGCCTCGCTTACAATCAATTATACATTCTTTTACACAGTGCCTTCAAACGGAGAAAACCTTTTTGCCACGACTTGGTTTTAGATGTCTTTTTGCACTTTATCGAAACTTAGATCTAAACTTTTATCTAAACTTAATCTAAGAATAAAACAATAATTCGCTAAGAAATAAGTTGTTCGACGGGACTTAGGAGCCTTGTGATGTAGCAGCGACACTGCTGAGCAGTCTTCAAAGCCAAGGCGCCTTCAAATGATTGTATATGCAATACGGACATCCTAAGAGATCGAAGTTGTATTCAGGCGTTTGAAGTAAACAACTTCGGAACTTCGCGTTCGTGGACCATTCCACCATTTCCACCGTGGTCAGGACCGTTGCATGAACTTTCGGACGTTGCCAAATTTCTCCCGATATGTATTTTTAAGAAACTTTAATACTTCACAAAGGATAAAAATCTGTAAAACTTCATACGTTACCGAGAATATGAGATAATTTTGGCTCGTGTTTTCCGCTCCCACCGTAATGTCATCACTCAAAAAAATGTCAAGGGTCATAACTGGATGTGTTTGCACGGATAGAATCTGGATCAAAACTGCGGTGTTGTAATATGTGTAGAGGAAGAATCCAAAAACGAGTGAACTTAGAGCCAACAATCGACTGGATGCCCAATTGGTTTCCACTGGAAATCCTGAAATGGTAAAAACATTCCGGAATGTCTAAGGCTGTGAGAAAGTTGCGTTTTTTACTGCCAATGGGCCTGTTGCAAACTTAATTGCCACAGCAAGAATAAGAGTTGTGTCTTATAGAAAATGGATCAAAAATCACAATGAGCGCATCGGCAAAGTCTGGAATAAACTCCTAACTTCACCGACAGAGCAAAGGGGAGACTTTTATGAGAATTTTATAATTTTATTTTTTATTTTATGAGAATTTTATGCCGCCGTCCGCGGCGCGCATGGCGCCGCCTTTCATTATTACACTTCATCCAGCGTTGAGATGGTTGAGAGTTCACTAATTACTTCACACGACCAGTGTGTAATTTTAAAAGTCGAAAATTAAAAAAGAAAAATTCAGGATACTCGAGTTCTCCGCCAGGGAGCTCGCCCCGCAAGAAATCTATCCCCACCCGCCCGCCGGGAGCCGCGGCGCGCGGCGCGGTGTGCTGCCAGCGCGAAACGCGCAATGACGCGGACGCCTACAAACCTAAGGGGATACTTCACGCATTGCGCAATGCTTGAAGTATCCCCTTAGGTTTGTAGGCGTCAGTGCGCGTCTCGAGCGGGCAGCACGCAGAGCCGCAACGCAACGTGCTATAAACTTGCCCACATTTAATAGGTCAGGGTGTTAAAATGTAAGCAACTTGACATCAAATTCGAATTTTAAAGACGAGCATACCTTGTTGAGACATGATAGCAGAGATGAAAACCAAGGACGACATTTCTTGAAGATTTTCTCTGTCGAATTTAGCAAGGAACTTGAAACCAAGCATGTATGAAATGAGGAGTGCGCCTGTTGCGGCCCAGATGTTCTCTGAGAAGTACATGTTTCCCAGACTATACCATGGAAGACGTCGATGGTGTAAGTACACAAAACCAGATCTGAAAAAATATGTATTATATGTCCCGCCTTTCAAAGTCTAGGTTTCTTATCATCATCATTTGGACCGCGTTTAACAGAAAGGAACCAAGCCAGATCAGCTTTTGCCAAATTTAACTGAACACTTTAATTTTTAACGAGAGAACAGTTGTGCGGATTCCTTTGAAAATTTTAAGGAATTTGCTTTGTACTAGGGAGAAAATTCACTGAAATTTGGAAGGAAATTTGCACAACCGTTTCCATGAAAAAAATTAATGTTCCCAGTTAAATTTGGCAACAGCTGATGTGGCTTGGTTCCTTTCTGTATAATGCGATCCATTTGGACAAAATATTTCAATAAGGAACTACTATTTCTGACTCATTTTACAAAAAACATATGTGCTATTTGTTCCCCAACGCAAATAGTTGCTTTTGAGAATGAGCCAGTCCATCTATGTTTATGCATCAAAAACAGAGACACTACGATAACTACCGACAGTAATAACCATTGATTTTTTTAAAAAATTTAATCATCTACACTGATAAAAATCGAGGACTAGAATTCTGTGCCGGGGTTATCCCCAAGTGATCCCCGAGTGATATGGATGTGACGTGAAATTAACACCATAAAAGTATGCGACATTCCGCAAAAAAAGTGAAGTCCGCTCCGTGATAGTGTAAGTCACTCCGTGAAGAGAATAGATTCCGCTCCATATTCATACTGCCGTGCTAAGGAAGAACGCCGTATGAACATTCGAGAGTTGCCAAATTGCCTTGGATAAAATATTTGTTTTTGAGGAAACTCGAGGTTATGAATATTTTTCTTTAAAATTTTCAGAAACTTTAGATCAAATTTAAAACAAAATTATCTGAAAAATTGGCAGGAAAATATTCATAAATTTTCCTGAAAATTAGTGATTTACCAGAGGAAATTTGGCAACGCCTGAAGGTTCATACGGCGTTTTTCCTCAGCACGGCAGTATATAACTCGGGCTCGGGGTTTTTGGGTACTGTATAGACTTCGGCACAGAATTTTACTCCAAAATTTTAACGGTGCATGAATCTTTCGTGTTTCTTTCTATTGTTTCGTAGTTTTATTATATTCTCAAACTTATTTCTTAATAGTGACTAGTTCAATATTTGAAATAAAATTGTGCACTTACTTCAAAGCCATTGATCCCAGGGGCACACGGACGTAGCCCAAAGAATTAACATCTTTTAAATCTCGTCTTAGCATTGCTAACCCTAGGTCCGTCTCCTTCCTTTGCAGAGACCCGATCAACCCGTCATAGGTTCCATTTCCTGCACCAGTCGGCACTCCAACAGAATCGAATACCCTCAATTTAAGACTGAAAAATACATTCAAACCGTTCATAAGTGAAAAACGAATGGAATTGTTAACTTTTCAAAATTTCGTTAAAGAGTTACACAAATCAATAAAATATGAATAAATAATTTTTCACGCAACACAACCAAAATATATCCATTTGAGATTCGATGGCTTTTATCGATATTCTATATTGTGTGATATCCGAGTTTAAAACCACGCATGTTTCCATTTCCGACATGTAAAAAAGTCAAAACTTTTGAAACGCTGCGATCGAGATACGTGTTTTTAGAGTTTTGTCAACAAGCGCATGCGAGGTCAGACGAAAAGGGCCTTGAAGGTAGAGAAAAATGAAAATAAGGAAACTCTACCATAACTTTAAGGGAAAAATTGTGTAGCATTTCGAGGACAAGCAAGGTTGTATTACATTTAAAAAATTGCAAATCTATCTCCATTTATGCTTTTAGGATTCGCGTTATCAAAAATTTGCACTTTCGCAATTTACCAAAATTTCTTTAAGTAACCCTCTCGGAATATTTTAAAAGTAGAAAACTATAAATCGCGAATTTAAGAAGAAAAGTAGAAAGAGTTTCCCGGCGTTGTCATTAGTTTTGAAAACTATTAATGTCAAACCCTTCTAACATTATCATGGTTAATAGTTCAAATTATTGCTTGAATTTGTCCCCCCCAAAATTGGGTTTGTTCTCTACGACTTTAGTTTCCACACCTTGAAGATCATTTCGCCTGACCCTATATCATATTGTCCGAGCCCATACACGGATGCACAGGGATCAAAACAAGGATAGGCCTAAAAAATGAATCATAAATCGTGATCATTTGACCAACAGTTTCAGCTCACTTAAAATTGTACAGCTCCGCCACATGAGTGAACAGTTTGAAAGTTCGCCGTGATTCTGCATCCTGATTTCTGGCAAAAAATGGATTTAAAAGCATTTCTTCCACTCCTTGGGACTGCAAAAGCTAAAACAGAATGCAATACGAGTTTTGAAGTTTCACCCTTATTATCATCGAAGCGAACAGATATACTTACATTCAGTAGGACTGGCAAATATAGACTGGCTTGAGGTAAAGGTATCAAAATACTGGGTGATTACCTTGAGACGTATTCTATCCTTTATTCTATTTTTGATACAATTATTATTACTCGTGAGAGCTCATTTTGCCTACTTTTTCAAATGAAGGCGTATATGTCGATCACGTACGTATCTATTCTGCCGTGCTAATGAAGAGCTTTATATGGATTGCATTTAACAAGGACGAACCAGCGTAATTACGGTGTTTTCAAAATTATGTAACTTCTTCTCTAACTTTAAAAATACTATATATATGTACAGTAGTACAATTTGCGCGATTATTTTCCTTTAAAATGAACAATTTTTTGATAAGAAGCAAAAATTATTTGCTATTCTGGGAGATTTTTTAGATAATTATGAAGACGCAGCATTTTTACAACACTGCAATCGCGCTGGTTCCTTTTTGCCAAATGCAATCCGTATATACATTCCAGATTTAGCAAATTATACCGAATAAAACTTGTTTTTGAGGATCAGCATATTTTTCTTAGGCATTTTGAGATATTTTAGATTAAACTGCGAAAAAAAATTGTCTGCAAATTTTGAAGGAATATTCTCTGTTTTCCCAACAAATGCGTTTTTGATGAAGGAAATGTGGCAAAATCTGAAGGCTCATACTGCGTTTTCCCTTAGCACGGCATTATTTCTAACTCCTCAATTTTTTGAGAATGCTTAAAAAAAAAAAAAAAAAAAAAAAAAAAAAAAAAAAAAAAAAAAAAAAAAAAAAAATCTACAAGGATTGGATCGAGTATCTCACCTCTATCCCTGCGGTCACAGTTTGGCCGAATAAGTTTCGACGAGATCTTGTTTTTGGTTCATTCAAGTTACCCTGTAGACCGCGCTCAAGACTCCAATGCCCGAGCTGGGTACAGTTGATCGGTGCAGATTCGGAGGGCATGTACGCATCGGTAAGTGTGACACTCGAATCCGAATCGAAGGAAGCCAAAATTACGTCACTTTGGAGACACAGAGACAATGAAATGACCCGGAACTCGTCTATAAAGTTGTTTTTACTACTCCAAATCAGCCAAGAATGATGTTCATTCAAGAAATTGGTCTTGGGGACCTGAGTCATAGCAAGCATTAATTGAAACAAAAATTAAAATGATGAGATGTGTAACTTGGAAATGCTGAAAGCAATTGCAGTTCAACGTTTCAAAGTTTCACCTGCCAATTTATCTTTTATTCTTTGACTGGTGTTAGTTTTACATAAAAAATGACCGGAGATATTCACCCAATCACAAAGAAATTTAAAAAATAATGTGTTACTATACTTGAGTAAATGAGCAAATTGTTAAATGAAACTGTGCAATACTGAAATTCAATTAAGCCCGTTTCGCTCTCACCCTTTCATTTGTTCCCTGCCGTCCTTGAAACACTTTAACTAAAGAAAATGTATTTTTAGGAGTAGAGTTACGCATGTGAAAAATGCATCCAAAATGCCAAATAGGTACCGAGAAAGAATGTCGGTGGTGTACTTAATTTGAAAAGTACATTTTCTCGGCGAGGGTGCGATGTCTCAAATTTTTCCTCGTATTTTATTTTTTTTGGAACCAAAAAAAGCAACAACTCCTCTTCAAACTTTCTTGAAATATCCCTCGTACAGAGCAGAAAAATCGCCAAAGAATGTCAAAGAAGAAAAATGAATTTTTTAGCCCTTGGAAATATATACTATATGAATAAATAATATTTTTTTTTACTTTCACAACAGCAATACTCGTCTGTAAATAGGTTGTATATCATTGCGCTTACTATCATTTACAAGCCAGAAAATTTTGAGCTGTGGTAAAATACATATCGACGGTGAAACTACCAAACCACGTATCTCGTTTGCGGTGTTTAAAAATCTACGCTCACATTTTATTTTTTTGAAGTAGACCCAATCAATATCATTCCTTGACATTTTCACGGAATTTTCTCCGCACAAAGAGGAAAAATCACAGAAATTGTCAAGACTGGATGTTATGTAGTTTTTCATTTAAAAATAAAGTATGACAGGAAGTCTGCGACGTCGCAAACCGAGATACGTGGTTTGGTAGTTTCACCGTCGATATATTCAAGATTATTGTAAAGATGAAGTGAGTGGCTCGGAAGACAGGGCGATTAAGCACAGTTAATGAAAAAATTGAGATATTAATGATTTCCAGTGAAACTAGTCTTAATGAATGTTCTGTAAAAACATTTGCTACCAAATTCCAATTTTTAAGCATCAAAAAGTCAGTTTAAACTTTCCTCCCGTCGTAAGGATCCATGCAATTTCGAAACTTTAAACGTGTATTTCTCGAAATAGCAAAAACTGCACTTATACGCCTTGTCCTCCAAGCCCCTCAAGTAATGCGTAATCACGAATCAATCGCGGCTTGAAAAATTATAATATACGCCCGGGTGGAGCATTTTCTATTAGGAATCGCGATATGACGAGCTATTGTGAGCAAATAAAAACAGCAAATCTACTTTTTCTTCCCGTCTCTTTCTCTTACTCCTTTTTCTTCCTCTCCGCTTACTTCTTCTTACAAATTTTATCTCGCTTTAGGGATAAAAATTGAAACGCTCTAGTGTGAACGCTCATCATGCAACAATTAATTGAAAAAAGTAATGAGTCTTACGTTTTGGAGAGTTTCAATGCTCTGCGGGCAGTCAAAATCAAAGGCATACCCCATTTTGGCACTTGACATCATGAATTCGAAAACAACAGTCGCTGAAGCATTCCCATCCAAAAATATGAACTGAGTCAACATATTAGAGTTAATTCGCGTCGCACCGAGTCTCAGCCAACTTTTTGCATCTGAAAACGAATGGGATCCACCAATCACCGATTGCATAACAAGCGTAGATCCGGGGTGTAAAGAGGGTTCTATCATGTCCGCATGATGATGCATGCCAGGGAGTGATTTTAGGGAGAAAATGGAAAAAGTGACTTAAACAATACCAACCTACTCCCTTGACCGAGTCACAAAGTGCAAAGGAAATATTGAAATAAAGTTGCTATTAACATAATGCAATTGACTGGATTTTTTTTCTTACCATTAATGTGCAATAATTTTACATCATTTGGTCAATTAATGCAGATTTTAACTATCAATAATCACAGTTCCACGTGACAGGAAAATAGGCAATTTATACAGAACATGCAAGTTAATTCAATTTTGTTGCGCAAAGAATTGTAAGATTGACTCCTTCAAGTAGCAAATAAGCAACATACACTACACGTCCAGGCTATAGAAATAATTTTAAAGTGTAATAACAATTTATAGCAACCTACGTGGGCTACAGGAGCAGAAGGTTTCGATTAATTTGCACAGAAAATAACATATTGCAATTTTTTTTTATCATTATTATTATTTTTTTTTGTTTCAATATTTTCGTATTCTTGTAGTTTTAAAATATGTAAGTCTAGCATTTTGTGTCCCTGCAGCGTCGTGAAAAATAAGTATATCCGAAGATGGAGCAAAGAAGAGCTCTGAAATGATCATCGTATAAGCATCACAATCAACTCAAATATCGGGTGTTTAATATAAATATATTCGATTCCTCGACAGAAAATAACACTTCGGAAAAAATTAAGCACTGCACATCTCGCTATAATAAGATACCTCAAAGTTTTCTGCTCGCGTAACGGAAATGGGTTTTCATTGCAGTAATGTTATTTTGGAGAGCGCGTCGCAGCGCGGCGCCGCGCACCGGACCGTGATGCATGGATTACGCGCAATGCGTGCAGTATTTCTGCAGTCTTGTAGGCGCTAATATGCGCATTGCACCGGCTCGGCTAGTGCGGCGTGTTCAACGCGTGCACCGTGTTCAAATTAGGCACAATGGACCACTAGACAAGGTACGCATTTAGGCATTTTGATACATGTGTCTTAACCAGAATTTCGCGTAGAATACGATTCACACAACGAAAATCACTGAAACCAACTCCTAACGAAGATATTAACGTTTTTATTTCACATTGGCTACGAGGAATTTGAACTGCCCGCTCACAAGAAACTCAAAGCTCTACGTTAGTCAAATCGCGCACCACAGGGGTTTCAGCAAGCTGCTCAGTCCAGCGATGTTCATATCCGACCATGTGTTGTTCAAACTATGAGCAATTTGCTATAGCTGAGCCAAAGCGCCAAGATTGAGGTTGCCAGATTTTTATATCGCAGAGACTGTTATGGTAACGTTTAGCGCGCGATGTGAATCACGTAGAGCATTGAGTTTTCATGAGCGGGTGGTTTGAATGCACGCATCAAAAATCATACAATATCTTCGTTAGAAGTTGATTTAGGTAATTTTTGTTGAGCAAATCGTGTTCTACGTAAAATTTTGGTCAAGGAACATGTATCAGAAAGCTGAAATTCGTACCTTGTCTAGTGGTCCATTAAAATTTTTGATCGTTGAAACCAAGCCTCGTCTCTTATAACTAAAATCTTTGGTAAGAAATGCGGCTCTCAGCAAAGCTTCGCCAAATTCGAAGTTCGGTTAACAACGTATGACCAAAAATTTCGGTTAGTTGCTATCGCGATAAAAAACCAGAAATGGTTTACCTCAACAGCGTGATAGGCAACTCGTGCAGTAAGTTAAAAGAGACAAACAAAGCGCCCTCAGCTACCACCTCGTACGAACACTGAACGAATTTTATTATAACCCCTGGATGCAACTATTCGACCTCTCCGGACGTCCGTGTTGCCTACTTTCAGGAGTGAAGGCGTTTCGTGTTGCCAAGCTCTCGCCGCTCTACCCGCGGCTACGGGATCCGAAATGACAGAGCGCCTTTAGTTCTTCGTTTATGCTACAAAGACACCTCTGGCGTGTCATTTGAACCGAAAAGTGGAAAGAGTGTCTATATTACGAGCTAGGTACAAACCAACCTTCACGTGGATTAAAAATTGGACTATTTCTGCCAAACGGAACTATGTGCATTAAAACATAAGCCCCGAGACCCATAAGACTATATGCTCAACAGGGCTTACGTCATAATGCAAATAGTTCAGTTTGGCAGAGATACGTCCAATTGATGTTAGATGTAGGGAATTATCTATGCACTTTCTTGATAGAAGAGTTAAGCCATTTCCAGTTAGACAATGTTAGAGAAGTCAAATGAAAGGAAAAGTGAATTTTAAAAAATACTTCTAATGTGCAATTACATGACTTGATAGTCGGATCTAACGGTGTGCGTCATTTATAAATGACTGCATTTGATGTAAACCTACCGTGCAGTGAGCAATGCAACAGATAGATATGATGAACATGTTTTTCGCTAAAATAATCTGCCATCAGTGATGCAACGCCTGTTGAAATCTCTCCAGCTGCCTTGCCGATAGTGAGAAGTACCGCACACACATAAGCTGAGATCATGGTAGTGCATCTTTCCTAAAAGCAGAAAATTTTGATACTTAAAATTAAAGCGCAATCCATTATCTACACAATAAGCTTTAAAGGATTATTTAATGAGATATCTGCCTGAACACTAGACAGTCAAGTTTTTACAGAATTTTCTCATTTAATTGCGATTTGTTTAATGAAGCAAATTTAGAACACATAGGCACATACATTTAAAACGACACTTTCATGTGCTTCACGCATATTCCTGTGTTGTGTCGAAAAAATTGTAGACTCACATATCAGCCAAAGGCATCATTTCAGGCAAAACTTATGGGTGGGAAAGAGGAGCGACAACACCGAAAAAAAAGTGCCCTGATAAAAATTGGCGATAGGAGGTGGTGCGTTTCAAAATACCATAGGAATTCTTATAACCGGCTAAAGAAGGCAATAGAAAATCATATAGCTGGCTGTAGAAAGCGGAGCAAATCATATAGCCGGGCTATATGAAGCGATAAAAAAGTATGCAGCCGGGCTATAGTTCCTATCGCCGGGCTTTTCACTTTATCGCCATTGGCTATAAAAGGCTATAAGAAATTGTGTAGAAATTCGTGTGCTTTGGAAATCATTAAGTTTGATACGGAACCACCATAACATTCACAAAACACACATTATATTTTCCCTTAATACCTATTTTTTTTCATCAATTAAAATGAGAATAATCCGTACAAGATGTGCAAACATTTCAAAATCATGAGTTGAAAAACGCTGACTCCGCAAGATTATATTGGAGTCTAACATAGAGCGGAGCTGCGTGATGCCAGCGATAAGCGCGCACTAGCGCCTACAAACCTAACAGAGATACTTCACGCATGGCGCAATGCGTGAAGTATCCCTGTTAGGTTTGTAGGCGCTGAGGCGCTTTTCGCGCTGGCTGCCCGCTCGCCGCGCCGCAGCGTGCCACGGCGCTTGAAGCAACTATTTCACATCAGAGGTATTGCTCAGTATCATACGAAATTTAAGGCGCTCTAACATATTAGGAATGGCAGGCATCCTTCAAAAGTACGGAGCTTTCCGCGCAAAATAAATCAAGATACTACGGCCCAAAAATAGAGCGGTAATCCAAAAACTCACTAAGTCCTAGCATCCGTAATTAGTAACATTTAGCATACACTTTATCGCCTGGCTGTTGCTCAATCGCCATCGGCTATAAAAGGCTATAAGAAATATAGCCAGCTATAGGAGCTATTGAAAATCTTACAGCCGGCTTTAGATCTATGGTATTTTGGAACACAGATTCTACTGCCAATTTTTACCAGGGTGATGCTAATGTAACATTTTGGATGTAAAAAAGTGTGCGAGAACTCACAAAACGCTGAATTAATCGTAACGGCAGTTACTTAATACAATGTCAAGATGTAAAACTAACTGCCGTGGCGGTCGATTCAGCGTTTTGCGATTTCTCGCACACTTTTTTACATCCAGAATGTCAAATCAGCATCACTTTTTTTTTCGGTGGAAGCTTAAAAATATGTTGAAAAATACCTCAAAATCAATCAAACACACTCTCTTTCATTTTGTTAAAAATGGAAAGAGAAGGGATATGGGGAACTACATGGGAAATGCTGTGCATTTTAAGAAAAGGGGCATGTAACTAACTACCTTAAGTTATACCTTTGTGCTCCGGGTAAATAATCAAAATAAAAGATTTTACATAATTACTACAGATTTAATTGCTGAGACTTAATTCGTTTCACAAGAACCAAAAAACACATCATGACCGCTCGTCCACATTGTCAATTCAAGAATGTCGTTGCTACTTTTTTGAGCACCAGTTATTTATTCTCGTTACGTGTCGCACACTCGCCAAAAAAAGAACGATTCTTAATACTTATTTTTGAAGATAAGTATAGCCAATTACTGTCTCTTATTTCATGAAGTCGATGTTTCATTGCCAAGCCGAACAAAACAACTTAAATTCATCATGGATTCAATTTCGTCTGTGATATGACAATCATCACCATGCTTCAATAGTCATGCAGATTTATTTTTTGCACCGAACTTTGAAGAGAAAATACCTGCAGGATTCCCGATACCTGACACGTATTAAAATTTCAATGAAATATTGTTTTACAATGTTGCATGCACTGCTCGAGACAACTGCCCATCTCTTGTCCGTGCAAACGGAATTTTTAAGAGTCCCTCTTTGATCCAGAAACTCACTTGACACTTTATCGTCTCGCGGGAATAAATATTTGATCGCGTGGGTATCGAGAAATGTGTTGGAACTTCTTACATGCAAAGCCATACTTACTAACCCACTACTTTTCGCCTTCTTGTGGGTGTGGCTTTGGATTATGCTGCCAGGCTAAGGAAGAACGCTGTATGAAAATTCAAGAGTTGCCAAATTCCCTTCATTAAAATGCTTATTTTTGAGGAAAGTTATACATATTTTTCCTTGAAATTTTCAGGAACT